ACACACACACACACACACACACACACACACACACACAGAGTCCCCAGGTGTAGACTTTCAGGATCGTTCAGGAAACAAGGCGCACCTGTTAGTCGGACAATCCCCGGACATTAAAAGCGGATCAAAAGGAAATTGGAAATAAAAGGAGAAGATAGAAAGAGGAATAGAAAAATGTAAAGGCAGAAGTAAGAAAAGGAAAAAAGAAAGATTATTGTTAGCATTAGTATGATGAGAATAACTATATTTCATGCGATTCGTGTGTTTAGATTAGAAGACCTGTCAGAAAGCATGTTAGGAAGGAAACGGAGATATTTGTAAGGTTTAATTAATAATTTACGGAAGGATGTTGCACAGAAATATTTGAGCCCAGACGACGCACTGCTTAAGGAAAGATGGAGTGTATGCATTTTAAAATGGAAAAATAAAATAAAAACTTTTTATTTTAAAAAAAGTGGATCATTGCGGGGAAAAAGCCACCGACAAAACATGATTCGAGGAGCCGACGTGGCATAGGTAGTCCTCGAATTACGACCACCATGGAGCCTGGCATTTCCCTTGTGAAGCGAGACCTTTGTTCGGGTGAGCTTTGCCCATTTTACAACCTTTCTTGCCACGGTTGGGAAGTGAATCGCTGCAGTTGATAAGTCAGTCACCCGGTCATTAAGTGAATCCAGCTTCCCCCGTTGACATTGCTGGTCAGAAGGACACAAAAGGAGATCACATGACCCCGGGATGCTGCGACCGTCATAAATACGAACTAACTAACTGTTGTAAGTCAGGAACTACTTGTAGATTCGTGATGAGTGAGATTGTGAATCTCCTACTTTGATTAGCAAAGGAAAAATATGAGCCCCACTTTTCCGTTGCTAAGTGAGACAGCTAAGCAAGCTTTGCCTCATTTTATGACCTTTTTGTCACAGTGGTTAAGTGAATCACTGCAGTTGGTAAGTTGCAAAAACAGACATGAGCCAATCAGAAGCCGACAGTGAATTCTAGTTCTACCTTAGGCGTTAAAATAGACTGTGTGATTTTGGGTCAATCACCAGGAGACGGTGAGTTCTAGTNGTGATTGCGAGAGGCCGCCTCCATCGTTAATACATGCCAATTGCCTCCATTTTGATCGACCATGGGGGGGAATGCTGTAACAGTCATAAGTGTGAGGACTGGCCCTAAGTAGTTTTGAGTGATTGCAACGGTACAAGTGGTTGTTGAGTCGAAGATTACCTGTGTGGTTGTGTATGCCGAACGAACAATAGGAGGATCTAAGACTTACAAATTCTTTGACGTTACGTCAAAGTTGCTTTTAACAGCACTGGGAAAACTTGGGCCAGTCCTCACACTTACGACTGTCCTGCACCCCGAAAGCTGGAAAATATAGAAGCTGCTTTATTTTATTTTTTTTTAAAAAGAAAATTGCAAACATTTTGGTGCAAAGGAATTAAAAGAGTTTGTGGCGACGTTGGGAGTTTGAGTTTGAATGGGTTTCTTTCTCCCTCTCTTAGAAGATACATCGAGATTCAAATAATTGACGATGAGGAGTATGAAAAAAATAAGAACTTCCACCTGCAGTTGGGACCCCCGGTTATTTTGGACATCGGAATCCGGCACGGTAAGGATGGGAAGAAGAAAAAGAAAGAAATCCCCCCCCCCCCCAAATCCGGTTTTCACTTAAATCCGGAGAAGTTAGAGAGAGTCCCTTTGAGTCTTCTTTCTCCGTCCGTTGTGTAGCTGAGGGCTACGCAGCCTCTTATCTAACCATTCCCCAAGCAGCGTCTTTTTCCTCCGTTGCTCAAGGTCTTTCTCCCAGGTCCGTTATAACGGCAATCTCTTTTCCCCCATCCTATCCTAGGTGACACCAACGAGAATCAACTGCCTGCAGGAGAGCAGGAAAAAATTTCCAAAATGGGGTACCCCACTTTGGGAGAAAACGCCAAACTTGAAGTTATCATTGAGGAATCTTACGAGTTTAAGGTAGTCCCCCCCTCCCTCTGTCTGTCTGTCTCTCTTTGACTCTCTCTCGCTGACTCTCTGTCTCTTTCTCTCTCTCTCCCCATCTCTCTCTGTCTTTCTCTCTGCGTGTCTCATTCTGTCTGTCTCTCTCTCTCTCTGTCTCTTTCTTTTTGTCTCTCTCTCTCCGTCTTTCTCTCTCTCTCTCCTCTGTCTGTCTGTCTCTGTGTCTCTTTCTCTGTCTGTCTCTCTCTCTCACTGTCTCTTTCTCTTTGTCTCTCTCTCACTTTCTCTCTGTGTCTCGTTCTGTCTGTCTCTCTTTCTCTCTCTCACTCTGTCTCTTTCACTTTGACTCTCTCTCTTTCTCTCTGTCTCATTCTGTCTCTCTTTCTCTCACTCTGTCTCATTCTTTGTCTCTTCCTCTCTCACTTTCTCGGTCTCTCTGTCTCTGTGCCTCTTTCTTGCTCCCTCTGTCTCTGTCTCTCTTTCCCTCTCTCACTCTGTCTCTTTCTCTTTGTCTCTCTCTGTGTTTTTCTCTCTCTCTTTCCTCTGTCTGTCTCTGTGTCTCTCTCACTGTCTCTTTCTCTTTGTCTCTCTCACTTTCTGTGTCTCGTTCTGTCTGTCTCATTCTGTCTCTTTCTCTCACTCTGTCTCTTTCTCTTTGTCTCTTTCTCTCTCTCTTTCTCGGTCTCTTTGTCTCTGTGCCTCTTTCTCGCTCTCTGTCTCTGTCTCTCATTCTCTCACTTTCTCTCTTTCTCTTTGTCTCTCTTTCTGTCTCTGTCTCTCTTTCTCTCTCTCATTCTGTCTTTTCTCTGTGGCCGTGAGCCACAGTTTTTAAAGAACATTTATCTTTTATTCCATGCCAAGCTATGCTAAATTAGCTTCGATCAGAGGCGACATTGAAAGCAAAACAATTGCTAACAGGGAGTGGGGAGCCCCCCCTCCCCCAAGATCCACCCGCGTACCCCATTTCACCTCCCTCCAACCTCTTCTCCTCCAGAGCACAGTGGACAAACTGATCAAGAAAACCAACTTGGCGCTGGTGGTGGGAAGCAGCAGCTGGCGAGAGCAGTTCGTAAGCGCCGTCACGGTTAGTGCCGGTAAGAGAATTGAATTGAATATTTTATTTGGCCAAGCGCCATTGGACACCCAAGGAATTTTTTGTGCGGAAGCCCTCCGTATGCATGCAAAGCAACAGAGAGAACACGTGTGTGTGTGTGTGTGTGTGTGTGTGTGTGCGTGTGTGTGTGTGTGTGTGTTGCAGCATAACTCTGGAACGCCTCAAGCAATTTCAACCAAGCTTGGTACACAGATGACTTACTCTCTGAAAACAAATATTTGAGGGGTAAGACACCCCTAACGCCCCTTGTGGGTGTGTATTCTGTTAAGATGCAGGCTGTTGTGCCTTAAAATGGCTTCTACTGTACTGCCGTACTGGCTTCTACTGTACAGTGCCATGGTGACAGCTTCACAGTACTCCACAAGGGGGCTCCCTCTGGTAAGGGGGGAAATCCAACATTAGAAATTACATTTGATCCGGACATTTTCCCCCTATAAATAAATACGCGGGGAACGCCGGGTTATCGGCTAGTAATTAATGATACTACAGCCACACGATGTGGGTTAACGTCGATTGCTCTTTGAGCGATAAAACCACGTTCCATCAAGGGTGTGCTGTCGGGAGCAACGTCGGGGGTTCAATCAGAGCGCGATGACATTGATTGACGTAGCTGCCCAGCGTCCACTTGACCACAGCAAAACTCCCCGGCCCTTCCAGTAACCCCAAATTCTGGCTTACTGTGAAACACCCACCCCTCTGAAAACTAACCCAGGTTAACAACAGCCTGGGGTAGCATGTTGGAAGTCAAAACGGAGGCCGGATTTGTCCCAACTTTGTTGTGTGTTGTGTCCCAACTTCGTTGTGTCCTAACTTCATTGTGTAGAGTGACGTTTTCGAGGCAGGGCTGGGGGTGGGGGGGGCGGAAACAAGGAAGAAGGAATTCCTGCCGTTTTGAGGACAACAATTTGTTGGTAATAAATTGCCCTTCGGAAGCTGTGAGTGCCTCAGTATCGGTAGTGTCGGTCTCGCGCAAGAGCCGGGTCTCGCGCAAGAGCGGGGTGGGGGGGGTTGGACTAGATGACCTCGAAGGTCCCCCTTACAACTCTTGTTACTGTGGGAGTTGCGAGTGCTTCACCACCGGAGGCTTTTGAAAAGAGACCAGATGGCCATTTATCAGAAATAGTAGAGGTCTCACGCGAGAGCGGAGGGGGATGGGGTGGGACTAGATGACCTCCAAGGTCCCTTCCAACTCTTCTTCCTGTTACCGAGAGAGACCGATTCCGAGTTTTTATGACCCCTGACAGGTGACGATGAAGACGACGACTCGGGCGAGGACCGCCTTCCTTCCTGCTTCGACTACATCATGCATTTCCTCACCGTCTTCTGGAAAGTTCTGTTCGCCTTCGTGCCGCCCACCGAGTATTGGTGCGGCTGGGCTTGCTTCCTGGTCTCCATCTCCCTCATCGGGGTGCTCACGGCCCTCACCGGAGACCTGGCCTCTCACTTCGGCTGCACCATCGGCCTCAAGGACTCAGTCACGGCGGTGGTGTTTGTGGCCCTGGGTACCTCCGTGCCCGGTTAGTGACGGGTGGGGGAGGGCCTTACACACACATACACACACGTCCTGACACAGAGTGGTCGAGTGGGGACAGGTGGTATCAGGTATGCTGCTTTCTTCTGTGAGGAATAGAGCAGAAGAGAGTAGAAGACAATAGGAATAGGAATAAGAATAGAATAAAGCAGAATAGAATAGATTAGAATAGAATAAGAGTAGATCAGAAGAGAATAGGAATAGAATAGAATAGAACATCACAGAATAGAACAGAATAGAACAAAATAGAATAGAATAAAGCAGAATAGAATAGAATAGAATAGAAGTAGAGCAGAAGAGAATAGAATATTAATAGAATAGAACAGAATAGAATAGAGCAGAATAGGAATAGGAATAAGAATAGAATAGAACAGAACAGAGTAGAATAGAGCAGAAGAAAATAGGAATAGGAATAAGAATAGAATAGAATAAAGCAGAAGAGAAGAGAAGAGATAGAAGGGAATAGGAATAAGAATAGAATAGAACAGAATAGAATAGAGCAGAAGGGAATAGGAATAAGAATAGAATAGAATAAAGCAGAAGAGAATAGAACAGAGCAGAATGGAATAGAATAAGAATAGAATAGAACAGAATAGAATAGAATAGAATAGAGCAGAATAGGAATAGGAATAAGAATAGAATAGAACAGAACAGAGTAGAATAGAGCAGAAGAAAATAGGAATAGGAATAAGAATAGAATAGAATAAAGCAGAATAGATTAGAATAGAGCAGAAGGGAATAGAATAAGAACAGAATAGAATAAAGCAGAATAGGAATAGGAATAAGAATAGAATAGAATAAAGCA